ACAGCAAGCAATTGATGCATATATTAGGTTCTTGGGGTACTAAAACTTTTCCAGATTTATTTTCTGTACATTTGATTTCAGGTAAGCCGACACAAGGAGAGGGCAGATTAGACAAGAGGTTGTGAAAGAGGGAAAGAGATGCATTCATAAAAGAGGACAGAAAAAGGGGTGGAACTGCAGGAAGGGGGAAAGAGACCCAGCTCCTCAGGGAGGACCTTAGTAAAATTAATAAGCAGATTTTAGGCATGCCTACTCAGAAGTATGGCTCAGTTATTTTAATGATACTTACTCTCAAGTGAGTAAGCACAGAACTGCGACTTTTAATCGTTCATCGTTGATTTGGAATGAAAATTAATTTTAGTTGCTTTTTAAAGAGACTGCAAAATGGAAAGACTTTGCAAACTAAATGAAAAGGGTGTTTTGGAGTGGCAACTATATGTTACTTCAGCGGAGGAGAATATGATGAGTTCCTTCACACTTCATCATCCAACAAAGGGGCAACAACATCCTGTTGACACCTATAATAAATTCTGAGGGTGAAATGATGTTCATTTTGATCTCAGGCAAGTTGACCTTCAGAAGGGGCAAGAGTCACGGGGAGGTGAGTTAAAGGTGGCAGAGAAGGTGACGCAAGATGGAAGAAAGTGAGCACAGTAAAAAGGAAAGCGAAAAAGAGAGACAGAAAGGCAGATGAACGGAAACAAAAAGAAGGTGAGAGAAAGGGTAGAAATATTTGAGTAGGTAATGGAAATGTGGAAGAAGGCATGAGCAGAGAGAGAGGCAGCAGGCAGATAGCTGGTGACAGAAAGGATCATGAAAGAAGATGAGATGATAGCGAGTGACAACAGACAAAGGAAGTGCAAGGGGGAGGCAAAGATGGAGGACAGAAAGTGTACATAGGTAGGCAGAGAAAAAAGTCACCAGAAGTGACAGGAAAAGGAGGGAAGTGGTGAAACTTATGGAAAGGAACAAAGTGAGAGAAAGGATTTTTTTGGTAAAATAATGCAATAGTAATGCTCAGTATTAGCCACAGGCTTAGACAAGACTGTCAGACATCTGCAGCTATTTTAAAAGGTTGAAAGGTTTGACCCATAATACTGCACATGAAATACTGGCTCATGTGTACTGAAAAAATCTGCATGTCAGCACCTCAGTGTGTGATATGCGGTGAGATGCTAGCACTACTAAGTATAAATCAAAAGTTAAAATGTAGTAGTGGGCCATATTCCTGTCTGGGAGTCAGAGTTGGGTCTCAGGTCTCGACTGGTTGAGGAGCACTGGTCTAATCCATGTTGCATTGCAGTTCTAGAGGAGAAGCTTCTGACACTGACTGGATAAGCTAGGCTAAAAATAAAGCTAGCTTGCAAAACATAATACTGTATTAAAGCCATTACCTCATAGTTAAGAAGCAATAAATTCACAAATCATACAGAAGAAAACATGTGTACTATTGAGTAATAAGTTATTTGGCAGCTACTTAATAAATTCTCACCCCCCACACTCCTTGTTCGAAGCACATCTCAGAACATAAGCACGTGCCTTGAGAGTGCTGGCATAAACAACGGTTGCTGTAATCAAACTTCAAGAATACACGGATAAATCAGCAATAGAAAATGTGTTCTCAGGAATCAAATAGCCATGCAGATCTCCAGTGAAAGGCATGAAATTACAATAAAAAGCAACATGGATATAATTAAAACTAGGCTACCATCTGTTTGTAGAATAACTATTATACTGGGCACGACCTCTGAAAAGGCAAGTGCGCCTCAAACAGGAAGCTCAGTTCACTGAACTATGAGACAGGGCACTTGCGGGATGTCAAATGCCCAATGAGGTCACCACTTGCACCGAAACCACGCTAATGTAAGTTATGACAGTGTGAACAATTCAAAAATGATTCACTCTGATCATTTAACGTTTATACTGTAAAGCTCTAATTGCACGATTTCCAATTAAAAATAAAAAGAGGAGGTTAAAGTAAACATAAACAAAGACCAACAGCCCAGACCTATGCGGGCTGCTCTGAAGTAGATTCTACCACATCCAATGCAGCTCATTCCCACATTAAGTCTGCACAGGACCGTAAACATATTATCTTTGCACCACTGCAAAACTGTCATGCCAACAGAATAACGAAGATTACGCCGACTGAGTGGAGATCAGAGTTTTGCCATAAGTGAGTCATAACAGTTTAACCTAGCACTGAAAATGTATAAACATTTACAATATGTAAGGTGTCTGCTTTGAAAAAGGAATGTTGCTGTAAGGTACAAACATTTACAGCATACTGAAGAAGTTGACTAAAATAAATGAGACTTTCTTCTGAATTTTGCTATCTGGCCATTAATTTTCCAGATTCAACATTTAACATTTATTTTTATTTTTTTGCAATGTGGAACCAAAATATTACAAATCTCCAGCTATCGCTGCTCGAAAGTGATTCAATATTGTCCTGTGCACGCACAAAGACACTCAACTCTCTCTTTCTCAAACAAGGTACTTCACGCCAGTGGTGAGATGGGCTGTGTCAACCCACACAGGATCTCATTTCTCCCTTACAGGAGAAGAAGTCAGTTTTGAGATCATCCCCTGAAGAAAGGAAGTACAGTGGTACCTCGGGTTACATACGCTTCAGGTTACATATGCTTCAGGTTACAGACTCCGCTAACCCAGAAATAGTACCTTGGGTTAAGAACTTTGCTTCAGGATGAGAACAGAAATCGTGCAGCAGCGGCACAGCAACAGCGGGAGGCCCCATTAGCTAAAGTGGTACCTCAGGTTAAGAACAGTTTCAGGTTAAGAATGGACCTCCGGAATGAATTATGTACTTAACCTGAGGTACCACTGTATATGTTCCAAAAGCACCCATACAATTAGGCACTTCCAGAGAAAAACAGTTGTTTTCCCTCTGCTTTTTATGCCACTCTCACAATCTGAGAAAGACATATGTATACCTTATGTATGTATACATATGTATATAAGGCAAACGTATACCTTCAGGAATACCAAAGTCAATTCCAGAGCCTTCCCCATCATGATACAAGTAAAGACTTGCTCTCTTAACAGCAGTTCTGGAGCCTGTCACTCTGTTCCAGAATTCCCAAACTGTTTCCCTTCAGATATTTTGAACTACAACTTCCATCAGCTCCAGCATGAATGGCCCGTGGTCAGGGAAGACGGCAGTTGCAGTCCAAAACATATGGAAGGCACACAGCCAGAGAAAGCTGCTCTATTTTAACTATTACATTAATGGTAATAATCAGTGCTATTTTTCTAGAAAAAGTGGTGCTGGAACTCGGCCATGGACACTTCCTTCCTGACAATGGCGCCCCCCTGAAAGGTGCCAGAACTGAGTTCTTTTGAGTTCTCCCCTGAAAAGAAAGCCCTGGTAATAATTTCAGTCATAAAATGGGGTTAAGAAAGCACTCGCATATTTCTGAACATCAGAAGTAGTCCTTACTTGGTCATCATTGTCAGAAGCAACGCATTACAGTAACAGGTGTCAATAGCTCTTGCAATGGATGCAAGCAGTTATTGCCTTCCATGTAAGCGAAAATACACACATCCAATGACACCAAATCGCATGGCTCTGTCAAAAATGTGAACAAACTTTTTGACAAAAAACACAAGAACCAATACTAATTACTGCTCCCGAGAAGAAATACATCACAGTTTGAAATATGTAAACATATTTTTGAAAAAATTACCAATGAAATGCAAAGGTTTGGACAAGGTCTTTCTAAACAGCCAGATGCTATTAGAGCTTCTTGTGTTGGAGTTAAGATTAAGGCAGATCAGTGCTACAAATTTACTTTCCTACCCAACAGGTAGTATTACAAAGTACCCAATCTTGAAACAACCTGGATGTATGGATAGAAAGTATTAAGCAAGTGCTTAATTTACTTAATTCAAAACAGTGAATAAGATGAAACCCTGGTTACATTAAACCACAACAGGTCCTTTCACAACACAGTGCAAGATAGTAATCTTGAATATGATATTAACAGAATGTGTTCAGCCATTAGCGCAGTCTCACTTATGACTTCATATGGACGGATTAGATGTAAACAGCCCTAAAATCTCTTGCATTACACTGTTTGGACAGAACAACAAAGGACTGACACTCTGCATCTGAACAGATCATGACAACATATAGAAGAACTAAAAGAGCAGTTTCTGTGTCCTTGAACAGGGTCATGAATACATCTCTCAAGTTGGCCTATCTGACAAATGAAAAACAAGGTTGCTATTGATTTTTCCTTATTTGGTTCTGATATTGTTGTTATGCTGGTAACTCTCAGAAGTAGAAGATATGGGAGAGACATATAGAGGTGCATTCAACTAACTTTTGCTTAGATCTGACCCACTGAAATTAAGTTCATCAGGGTTATTAATTTCGATAGGTCTGCTCTGAGTAAAAGTTAACTGAACACAACCCAGATACAGTGTGTGTGTATGTATATATATTATATGTTGTAAATTGCTTCTGGATGCCTCACAGGAGAAGATTAAAAAATGAAATAAATAAATAAATAAATACAATATTAGCACCTGAAAGTGTACAGATTGCTCATTTATGTGAAGTGAATTGTGCCTTCCACACCTCAGAATAAAATAAGTCCTAAGATGTTGGAATAAAATTTGAAGCAAAGATTTAGAACGCCGTGGTTCTTTTGATCTGTTCTTTGCACTGATATTGGGTCTTTTTAAATCTTAAGAGACATACTTCTGGATTTCTTTCTTATTCTTTTTAATGAGATGATATTCACTGACACATATGTAGGTACTGTGGCGGATTTAAATGTTACTGCAATCACCACAGGACCTGAATAAAAACCTGCCATCTAGAACCAGTAAACCACAACAGGTTGTTGCAGTAACATACCTAATACTAGGGCAAGCTTAAATCCCCTTCTGCCTTCTTCAGAAGTCTGTCTAGCACAGTACTGTCCATACTGACTGGAAGCAGTTCCCTGAAGTTTCAGGCAAGGGGACATTGCCAGCCCTACCTGGATTAAAACAGGGACCTTCTGGTTTCAAAGCAGATGTTCTACCACTGAGCTACAACTCTTACCAAACTCCAGCAGCCGACCAAGATACCTTCTGGAGCATCAGTAAGATCATTATATGTAACAGGTAAAGAAGTCAACAAAGAAAACAATGGTTATTCCTGGACTGACCTAGTCAAGTATCAGGTAAGAAGGGCTGAGAACCTTTAAGGGCACTTGCTGCTAACAACCACACATTATCTCCCTGCTCACAGATGTGCTCCTGAGAGGCTTCCCTAGGAGACTATTGAAGTGAAGGGTAGAGGGAGACCTCGCTGTTGCTTTCTTGTCCCATCAGCAGTATTCATTGGTCGAGGCTACACTTCCTAGGAAATCAGTTGAACTTGTTCAGACCTCTGAATAAACATACAAGCTTATGTGTCATTATGATCATGTTGTGTATATGGATTGCAGACCAACCTGTGTATACAGTCCAGCCTCGGTTGTCGGATGTAATCCATTCCAGAAGACTGTTTGACTTCCAAAACATTCAACAACCAAAAACTGAAAGCGGAAGCCTCAATACAATAGTGAAACTCAAAGGGGAAGCCATGTAGCACGTTCGGCTTCTGAAAATCATTCAAAAACCGGAGCAGTTACTTCTGGGTTTTCAGCTGGGTTTTGATAATGGAGGCATCCGGGAACCAAGTTTTACTGCATTCACTTGGAAGTAAGGCCCTGTTGTGCTCAGTGAGGCTTACTCCTAAGTAAGTGTGGTTATAACTCTGGAATTACTGTAGGTCCAGAGCAAATGAAAAACTTGCAAATCAGCCTGCTTCCCAAGAAGATTCACTTTCCACCACTGAAAACATGTGAATTATGCATTTTTCCATTTTGAATGATTTTTATAACTATCCATACATTGCATAGCCACAGAGACTCATTGCACATCCCTGTAAAAACCTGCATCTGATGCCCCAACCAATTTATGCTACTGGGTTTTCATCTGGTTAGTGATTACAAACCGTTCCCATGCCTGATAAAAGGAAAATTAACATTTCAAATCAGCTAAACATATAAAATGCTTAAGTTGTGCAGCCTGATTTAAAACGTCGTTCTCCACTAATAATCCTTTTTGAGTTATCATTGCTTATTTTTGAATTATCACGGCTTTGTTTTTCTTGACACATATAAAACACACCCTGAATGCCAATTCACAAAGCATCATTAATTTAGGGAATTCACTGGCAAAAGATGTGGTGATGACCACTAGCTTGGATGACTTCAGAAGATTAGGCAAATTCATGGAGGATGTGTCTGTCAATTGTTATTAGATATGATGGTTTTATAGAACCTCCATGTTCAAATGCAGCATACCACCAAATTAAAAATGCCAGTTCCTGAACACCCACTGCCTTCATATGGGTTTCTTAGAAGCATTTGTTAGGCTACTGTGGGAATCAGAGTCTGATCCATCAGGGCTCCTTCTTTTGTTCCTAATGTTGTGCATGCCAAATTTGAAGAATATACTCATTTATAGTTGCCATCAACTTTGAATTTGAGCTTTATCTAAACAAATCTTCACCTGTATGCATTAGATATAATCTAATAAAGTGTTCAAATGATTCAGTATTTAAGAAAAACAAAAGCAAAACCCTACTGGTGGTGTACATAGCTTTCAGGGATTAAGGTTCTGCAAATGAATGAGAGGCCTCTTAACTTCATCTTTCACATTGTCTCAGGTCTAAATAAAGGCATGCCTAATATTAAATGACTCAGAGTAAAACAAACAGAAGTGAAGATCACTTTATTACTCAGAGTTTACTCAAGATGGCTATGGCAGTAACTCTTGTGAAACTGAAGACGCCTCCTTGAATAACTGAGCTCTAGTACTAATTATGCCACAAATGTTCCTATGCGAGCTCAGCCTCCAGTTTTATTAGAAAACCCATACATTACTCCATTCCCTCTCTCCTACCAATCTGACAGAGAGCATTCAATTATATATATATGCAAGTATCAACATGACATCTTTCAGATTTTGATAGGATACAATTAAACATCATACTGACAGAAAAGGAAGCAACCTCGCAAAACAAGCTTCTCTTCTCCCTTACACAAACACAAGAAGATAATATGTATATAGCCGCTGGAATATTTATGTTTCAGAGCAATAGTCATCCTGTGGACTGAGCTGAAGGGCTATTTCTGTTTTTATTATTTAGCTGAGACACATCATGGGCTGGGAAAACATTTCGTGGGATTTGTTTCATCTCTAAATGCAGTCGCTGATTACACAGCAGAGGAAGCCTGCCATTCCATACTTACAACAATGTAAGGCCTGATGTCAACTTTTCAACTCCTTTGCAAGTTGTTAAGGCCTTAGAACTCCGGAGAACACTCTGTGCAGACCTCCCTCCCCAGTGATTAAGATGCAACATGACATAACAACAACAACAACAGCGACTAGTCTCTCCCATTTCAATGAACGAATGCATATTTGCCTCAATATGCACGGGCTTTGGATTCCCAGCCACCCACTTCTCTGAGAAAGCCCAGAACAAGAATGAGAGTTCATCTAAGATCTGCAATCCGCGATCCATCCTTCTCCCTTTGTTATGCAGACCTGCGCTTGCCTTCATCTCACGCCCAAGAAATACATCTGGGTTGCTAAAGTTTCATCTCTTTCCAGACTCGAGCGAGGATCTCCTGTTTGGGAAACCACCACCACCCAGTTTCCCCAGTACCCTCTTTCCCCAAAGAAAGCTCCCCAGCGATTGGAGGCGGTGGGGTGGGGTGGGGTGGGGGGTGCAGGCGACTAATCCCCCGCTGTGCGGCATCTTAACTATTTATCTACATCTGTGCATGCTGCATATTTCCCTTCCACCCACCCAGCCAAACCATTGCACCTCATGCTTTCCCTCCTCCCCTCCTCCCTTTTAAACACTTGTGCAACAATTGCTGCGCTCGCCACGCCTTGCGACGCTCCCTCGCTGCTCTCCCTTTTCCACAATAACAAAACTCAAGTTGAAAATAGAAAGCAATTACCTCCCGAGTCAGTGTCCTCCGCCAACCGGAGCCCCACATAATCCAAGAGGGCAGCGCTCTAACCTCCAGAGCTGCTTGCTTCTCCTCCTCCAGAAATTGAGCCTCGCCTGGTTTCTCAGGGGCTGCAGCGGTCTCTCCCCCCCCCCCCCGCCCACCTCCACTTTTCTTTTCTTTTGGGTAGCGCCTTGACAAATCCTTTCTCTCTTTTTTCTTTTTTTGCCTTTGTTAAGGGTTAGAAGTTGAGCTGTGCCTGTTCTCTCTCTCCCTCCCTCTCTCTCTGCCTCTTTCACTTCTTGTATTACAGTTACATGGCTGTGTGACGTTTCTGGCTACAGAAAAAGGGGGAGAAAACAACTGAGGGTGAGAGCCGCCTGCCAGGGCGAAGCTCCTCCCTTCTTCGCCTCTCTGTTGCTTTCCCCTCCCTCCTTCCTCCAGACTAACACACAGCAACAAGCTGCTTTTGGGGTGGGGTGGGGGTGGAGAGGAAACAGAGCTCTGGCTCTGTCCTTCACAGGTATAATCTCTACCGTCCCCCAATCCTTGCCGCTCCAAGCCCCACTCAAAAACCTCAAACATCAGTTATTATCCTGATTATTGCCAGTGTTGGGTCGTCAGAGGTTTTTTTTTTTTTTTGCTTCTCCTGGGATAGTTAATTGTAGTCCCAGAATATAATAAAAGCTGACACTGCCACAGTGGATAGGGCAGGGCAAAGCCACTCCTGCTATCCTGTTGCACCTTGAAACGACCCTACCTTTCTCCCATACTGATGCCAACGTCGCTGAGGGGGTCTGTCAGGCATGTCTGCAATAGTTCTCAGAAATAATCCTAAAAGCGCACTTCCCCCTACGCATGGTTGCTCAGGAGGAAGACCTGTTGCGTTCGATGGGTTAGTGTACTGAGGACGGAAGCCTCAGCCTCCGACCCTAGGCTGTGCATTCTGATTTGGAAGATGTTTCACTGGAGGGGAAAATAGGGTTTACTTCTGGCTTACGCATGCATAGGATTGTGCTTGTAAGTGCACTTTTGAACCACTATTTCTGCTCATACAGAGCAGAAAGCAGAACATACATTTCAGCCAAGTGGGTTTTCCCTTTTTGCATGGCAGATGTGGGAAATGTAAATATGCTTAAATAGGCTGGTCCAATGGAGGTTTTTACACACACACACATCCTGCCCCCAGAAGCCCCAGGGATTTCAGCAGGACTTTCTCTCAAGAAGTGCGTAAGTCTACACCAGTGCGGTGTAGTGGCTAAAATGTCGGACCTGGAAGACCAGTGTTCAAATAATTGTTTGGCTACGAGACTCACCAAATGACCGTGGCTAGTCGGACTCTCAGTCTGACCTACCGAACAGGATTGTTGTGAGAGGCAACTATTATGCCACCTTGAGCTTCTTGGTGGAAAGGTGTGATATAAATATAATGATGAATAAATGGATATACACAGGGCCTTTTTTCAGCCAGAACTCACCAGAACACTCAGGTGGGCACCATTGTAATTATAAGAGGACAAGGGAGGCGCTCATGGTGAGTCCCAACACCTCTTTTTCTGGAAAAATAGCACTAGGCATACATTGGATTTGGCTATTGGTGTCAAGCAGGAAAACAGACACCACCACTGTTTACACCACGCGGCCTGAAAGCTGCCATGGCTTGTTCTTAACATGAACAATGTTCTTGCTAACACCACAGTGTGTAACAATGGGTGCACGCCTGACCTAATAAAACAGAGGGGACTGGTGACATTGGAGTTCAAGGGGTGAGGACTATATTCAGTTACTGCTCGCCTACGGCAACTAGCTGCTGAAATATTGATAGATCTCCCCCACCCACTCTGGTCCCAGGTTGAGATGGAGAGAACAAATAGGAGGAAATGATTTTAAAAATAAATAAATCTGATTCTTAAAACTATGCCGCTGAATAGCAAAATGTTCCTCATGTGAGGTTTTGTCCTCTTTAAATTACACTTTTTTTCCCAAAAAGTTAAATATATGGCTGCCAAGTGAGTTAATGAAAAACCCTTTGGTAGTTAACT